ACACACACACACACACACACACACACACGCACACACACACACACACACACAATCGCCTGCCTCTTTCCTCTCATCCTGCTGCTTTTGTTGACGGGATTGTCTTAAAGCAGGTAACTGCACCCCTTAACGCATCTCCCGGAACTGAAAGGGGCTTTTTCCTCTCCCTGCCTTACAATCAGGATCCAGTTGGTTTGTGTTGTTACAGGAGGGAACAGGTTGTTTCCAGATGTGGCGGTCCAGGCTGCAGCATCCTGTGGCTCAACTCCAGCTGAAGGAACTTAGAGCAGGTCAGGCGTGAAGGATGCAACCTGAAGTTACTTAATTAGCCAATTTAATTTAATCTCAGTATTAATCCAGCTGCTCTGCGAAGTCCTAAGACTTTTAGAGAACAAAGTCAAGTTTAATCGTGTAGCTCATTTAAGGAACAAGGCAGTGCAAAGTGCTTCACACCATAAAAACATAAAACAGTAACCAATCATGAGAAAAGCAACTAAAATTACATTTTGTCAAATATACATCACTATGTTTCACTTACTGTTAATCAAAGGCAACTCTAGACTGGTGGGTCTTCAGATTTAAAGGAAATCAGTGTTTCAGAAGTTTTGCAGTTTTCTGGATGTTTCTTCCAGATTTGTGGTGAGTAGAAGCTGAATGCTGCTTCTCCATGTTTGGTTCTGGTTCTGGGTTTGCAGAGCAGAACCAAGTCACACAGTCACCTGCTGACACTGTAATGTAGAGCTGTGTATCATCTGCGTAGCTATGGTAACGCTCCCATTTACTGGAGCGTGTAAATGGGAGGGGTCAGAGAGTTGAACCCCGTGGTACCCCACATGTGACTTCTGCATCAGTGGAGCAAAAAAACAGCAGACAAGTCAGGGGGAAAATTGTTAACTAACAAAAAAGAGATAAATACTAGACAAACCTGTTGGAGAATGTACATACATTAGAACGGCCCAGTCAAAGTCCAAAGTTAAATCCAATTTGGTCCCTGCGGCAAGACTTGTGAAATAACTCATTGCTGTTCACACACAGTTCTTCCAACTTGAGAGTAT